GAAGAAGAATACACATTAGTAAATGTGTATGCACCGAATATGAACCAAGGACTTCCTTCCTTCCTTCCTTCCTTCCTTCCTTCCTTCCTTCCTTCCTGCTAGCCTTAAAATCGAAAACCCACAAGGCTTCCTAGTGAATTAAGGGGGTTATAGTCCAAAAATGTGGAAGGTTTAACTTGGGGAGATGGGGCTTAGGGAGGAATTCAGACTAGTGTTGTCCACCTTAGTTTTCCTTCACTTTTTCGGCTTAGAACCATGAAATCCATCAAGTGAAAAAAACAAAAGCATCCGGAGAATAAGATTAAAGATCAAGGTGTCCCAGGCATCCCTCCTTGAATCAGTGAATTGTTTTTCTTGAACGGAACCGTTTTGTTTTTACACACATACACAAATCTGCCCGCCTCCCTGCCCGCCCGCCCCCAGCTCTAAGCAGAGGAATCAGCCTTTATGCGGTTGCTTTTGTTAAATAATTTGGGATCAGAAAACTTAGTGATCTATGGAAAATCCACCGGAAGGCTACCTGGGGACCCCAAGCTATGTTTTTCCCTGTCCTGGACTTAGGCCTGTTGTTCCATTTGAACGACTGTATGGGACTTCCCTCAGAGTTAACCTATGGAGGAATAGGATGGGGGGGGGTGTCTTTCCATCAAGTTGAACTTCAGTAGAGATCTAATGGGTCAGATCCAGCTGGGGCCCAAAGAACCTTTTGGCTTTGCAGCTATTTTGGGTTACCGCTTCCATAATCTGGTGGTCATTTGGGCTGGGACTTTGGAAATGGGGTTGAAAGGCCTCCATCCTAATTTATCCCAACCTGAGTCCAGTGGAAAAATGTCATGCATGTGCTTTACTCCCAGAATGGTATCCGTGGGACCCATAAGGTTGTAACATGGATTATGGAGTCTGGATATGTGTCTCTGCATGTACGTACATCTGCACAAATATAAACAGAAGTTGGAAAGCTACCATTTAAAAAAAGGGGGAAAAGGTTGCATGGCAACTAGAGAAGGAGTTGTAGTCCAAAAAGTTACTTTTCCAATATGTGTGTGTTTTTGCTTGTATGTGTGAGTGGACAGAGGTACGCAAACCTTGAGAAAGCATCAGTTTTGGGGAAAAAAGAACGCCTGTGGTGACTGGCCATGCTGGGGCTTGTAGAAAACACCAAGAGTTGTAGCTATAAATAAAAAAGAATAAGGAAAAAGGTAACTTTTCCAAGTTCTCATTCTCTCTCTCTCTCTCCCCCTTCCTTTCTATTAGTATAGGACAGAGATGACTCTGTTAGGCTGAATGTCACTTCCACCCTTCAGATCCTGCGTTCCCGACAATAGGGCAAAACACAGAAACATGTTTCTGCCTTTGCAACCTGTTTGGGAAACCCGGAATGAGATAAACAGTGCATATCTGGAATCAATCCATCAATAACCTTAGAACTGCCGAGCAGGAAGGGATCCGATGGATCACGCAGTTCAGACCCTGTCAACGAGGCACAGGGGGGGAATCGAACTCCCAACTGCAGGGAGGGATCCGATGGATCACGCAGTCCAGACCCTGTCAACGAGGCACGGGGGGGGGGAATCGAACTCCCAACCTTGGGCCCCGCTGGCAGAGATCTAAACCATAGACCTATCCGGCAGTGTCGTAGTTTTGCCCTGAGAATGGTGTGGTGGCATGATAAATAATGATGAATTCATCCAGAGAGCACTTAGGATTGTGGCTGATGATGTTCTGGAAGCGCCTATCGGTCCGGCACCGGCAGCAGCCACCGGTAACGAAGGGATAGGA